CAGCTGTGTGCGTCACTCTTTAGTGTCCCCTGGTCTCTAGCTGTGTGCGTCACTCTTTAGTGTCCCCTGGTCTCCAGCTGTGTGCGTCACTCTTTAGTGTCCCCTGGTCTCCCAGCTGTGTGCATCACTCTTTAGTGTCCCCTGGCCTCTCAGCTGTGTGCGTCACTCTTTAGTGTCCACTGGTCTCTAAATGTGCGCGTCACTCTTTAGTGTCCCCTGGTCTCTAGCTGTGTGCGTCACTCTTTAGTGTCCCCTGGTCTCCAGCTGTGTGCGTCACTCTTTAGTGTCCCCTGGTCTCCAGCTGTGTGCGTCACTCTTTAGTGTCCCCTGGTCTCCAGCTGTGTGCGTCACTCTTTAGTGTCCCCTGGTCTCCCAGCTGTGTGCGTCACTCTTTAGTGTCCCCTGGTCTCCAGCTGTGTGCGTCACTCTTTAGTGTCCCCTGGTCTCTCAGCTGTGTGCGTCACTCTTTAGTGTCCACTGGTCTCTAAATGTGTGCGTCACTCTTTAGTGTCCCCTGGTCTCTAGCTGTGTGCGTCACTCTTTAGTGTCCCCTGGTCTCCAGCTGTGTGCGTCACTCTTTAGTGTCCCCTGGTCTCTAGTTGTGTGCGTCACTCTTTAGTGTCCCCTGGTCTCTAAATGTGTGCGTCACTCTTTAGTGTCCCCTGGTCTCAGTGGTGTTTTGAGCCGATGATGTTTACATAGTTCTCTGATTCTTACAGGAAGCTGGAACACACAGTTTATTTCTCACTAACTTTTATTAAAACTCTACAGGAAGTATTTACTAACAGACTTTCCTCCGACAAAAGGAGCTCTTTTGGTCCAAACTTTAGGATTTAGGAGAAGAATGCAACGTTGAGTTTAAAACATAACAGGTGAGTGCACGTCAGACAGGTGAGTGCACGTCAGACAGGTGAGTGCACGTCAGACAGGTGAGTGCACGTCAGACAGGTGAGTGCACGTCAGACAGCAGCAGCTCGGAGATGAAACTGAGAGTAAAGTTTGGAGAAAAGCTGAAGTTTCTAGAAGAAAATAAAAGAATATCCGGTGTTTTTAAAACTTGTGATATTGAACATATTTTTGTTTTTCTTTTTTGCTCTGTCCTCATTACTGTTATTTACCCACAATGCATCACTGACTCTTCCTGGTCCTCTGGGCGGCGGCACCATGAACTGAGGAAGTCCAGCGTTTAAACAAATATTCCTGGACTTAGTTTTACTGAAACTGAACAAGAAGGACCTCTAGAGTCGAGGACCACAGGAGGTCTGGAGCCCAGGACCACAGGAGGTCTGGAGCCCAGGACCACACAAGTCCGTCAGCTGCCTTCAGGTCCAGTCCGTTTTGCAGACCTCCTACTCAAAGTTAAAATCATAGTCAAAGTCCAAGGAAGTCAGGTCCGAGGGGAGGCCCAGCGTCTCAGGGGTGATCTCCATCGTGGGGAGGTCCTCGCCCTCACTGGGCCCCTTTTCCCCCTCCAGACCGGGGCTGGGGTCTGGACCCGGGTCTGAGGTTTCCAGCCCCTTCGAGTCCGAAGCGGCAGAGTCAGAATCCCCCGAAGCCGGCTCCGGGTCGGACTTCTGCTGCCGGGTCTGGTATCTGGTCTGGGATCTGGTTTGCCGGACAGGGCGGGGGGCAGCAGGGGTTTTCTTGCCTCTGGTTTTTGGGCCTGGTTTGGGAGCAGGTTCCGGAGTCAAGTCTGGTTGGGGATTTGGATGGAGCTGAGTGTGGTGGTCTGGTTGGGGTTCCAGATTAAGATGGGGGTCCTGGGTGGGTTGGGGCTCTTTTTGGATTTCAGGAGCCGGTTTGGGAGGAGACCGGGTCTGGGGTGCCGGTTCCACTTTGGCAGGATTGGATTGTGGGGAGATGTTAGGCTCAGAGATCGGGGCGGGGGTCTGGTCCTGCACCTCACTCTGAGACTTAGGAGGGGGACTCAGTTTGGGTGGGGGTTCATCAGGAGTTTGGATGGGGGGGGACTGCAGAGACCAAACCGATGAAATCTGAATGTCTGACTCAGGCGGGGTTTGGGGAACCGGGTCTGGTGGTGCAGGTTTAGAAACCTCAGGTGCCGGTTTCGAGACCTCAGGTGCTGGTTTAGAAACCTTAGGTGCCGGTTTAGAAACCTCAGGTGCGGGTTTCGAGACCTCAGGTGCGGGTTTAGAGACCTCAGGTGCGGGTTTAGAGACCTCAGGTGCGGTTTAGAGACCTCAGGTGCTGGTTTAGAAACCTCAGGTGCCGGTTTAGAAACCTCAGGTGCGGGTTTCGAGACCTCAGGTGGAGGTTTAGAGACCTCAAGTGGAGGTGTGGTCTTGGTCAAAGGCTCAGATGGGGGTGTGGTCTTGGTCAAAGGCTCAGGTGGGGGTTTGGCTGCCTGTATGGGGGCAGGGTGAGTTTTGTTGGAACTTGTCGCGTCCGCTCTGGGGTCCGCTGGTGGTTTGGTGATGTTGGCGGCCCCAGTTTGGTCCCCCTTGCTGTAGAGGAGGTGGAACAGGTCCTGGGCTTTGGCTGCAGCGAGGTGAGTCTTCAGCTTCTCAGACTTCTGGGCCCCGTCTCCCAGGTTCATGAAGGGGGGGGGCTTCACAAACACTGTGCGGGTCTGCTCTCCCTCCGGGACCCCCGGAGCCGCCACGTCCGACACAACCCTTATCATGGGGGGTGGAACTGGTTTAGGGAAAGGGGCAGTCTCAGAGGGTGGAGGTCTGGACACTGACGGAGGGGGATTACAAACTGGAGGTGCAGGTTTAAAGACCGGCGGTGGGGGTTTAGCCTCAAACGGTGCAGGACCAAACACTGATGGTGGTGGTTTGGTCTCAAAGGGGGCAGGTTTTAAGACTGCTGGAGGGGGCAAAGGTCCAAATACTGATGGTGGGGGTTTGGCCTCAAACAGTGCAGGTTTTAAGACTGCCGGAGGGAGCATAGGTCCAAACACTGAGGGTGGGGGTTTGGCCTCAAAGGGGGCAGGTTTTAAGACTGCTGGAGGGAGCATAGGTCCAAACACTGAGGGTGGGGGTTTGGCCTCAAAGGGGGCAGATTTTAAGACCGGCGGAGGGGGTACAGGTCCATACACTGCTGGTGGGGGTTCAGCCTCCAACGGTCTCGTCACCGGAGGCGGGGGCATAGCTGTCCCGGGCGCAGGACTTGGTGGGAGGGGTTTACTCTCCTGTGGTTTCTTCCGAGCGTTCGGGATCTTCAGCAGTCCGTCTGAGATGGTCGGCACTTCCTGTTGAACTGGTAAACCGCCCCCTTGTGGTTTCATGGAGAGGAAGGTGTTCAGGGGCGCTGGTTTACCCATCAATGCGGTTTTCCTCAGGACCGCGGCCGGGGCAGGGAGGTTGGGTCTGATCCGGCCCCGGTTTGCCCCGTTAGAGAACCAAGGGGGTGTCTGATGGCCCCCCAGCTTCTGCGCGATCTCTTTGGCCACCGCCACAGATTTGGAGAAGGAATCCTGGGCTGGAGCCGGGTCCAGGTTCGCCGCCGCCTCGTCCTCCTTGATGAACTCGGCGGCCACTTTCTCTGCCTCCTTCGCCAGGAAGTTCTCCCTCTTCTTCCAGGTGAACTTCCCAAACGTGGGGGAGGTCAAAGAGGAGGGTCCGGCTGCTGGTTTTCCGACCTCCAGACTCTGCTTGCGGAGCTTCGCCCTCATGGCGGGACTGGGTCCACAGAGGATCTTTGGCGGGTCGTAGGGCTTTGGAGGGGGTTCTTGTATGGGTTCTGGTTTGGCTGCTGGTTTCTCTGGTTGAGGCTTTTTGAAGGGTTCCTTTGGTTTCCCCTCCTCCCGGTCAGACCTGAATCTGGACTCGGGGTATTTCCCGTGTTTAAAGTCCTCGTCTCTCGGTCCGTACTTTGGACGGTTGTCGTAGCGATGCCGGTGTTCTTCTTCTCTGCTGTATTTGTAGCGGTCCTCCTCCTCCCTCCTGTGCCGGTACTTGTCCTCCTTCTTGCTGCCTTTAACCTGCTCCTCTTCCTCGTCTTTCTTGCTGAAGGACGGCCTCTCCTCCTCCAGACCTTTAGGAGGTTTTAAATCCTCCTCCTTCTGGCCCGGCTTCTCCTCCACCTCCTTCTTCACCTTCTCCTCCGTCGGTACCTCCTCCTTCTTCTTCTCCTTGTCTTTCTTGTCCTTCTTGTGTTTGGACTTCTCCTCCTTGTCCTTGCCGGCCTCGTCCTCATGTTTTCGTTTCTTCCCCCCGGCGTCGGAGGTGAGGCCGGCCTGGCGGTCCAGGTTCCTCCTCTGCTCGTACAGCGGGTTCTCATACATCTGTTTCTGAAGCAGAACCAGAACAGGAAGTATTAGAACACCCTGTACTTCCTGTTGTAACGCACCCTGTACTTCCTGTTGCAACGCACCCTGTACTTCCTGTTGTAACGCACCCTGTACTTCCTGTTGTAACGCACCCTGTACTTCCTGTTGTAACGCACCCTGTACTTCCTGTTGTAAC